TCGGCCCCTTAGCCGCCCGTCGGCCCCTTAGCCGCCCGTCGCGGCCCCATTAGCCGCCCGTCGTTGGCCCCTTAGCCGCCCGTCGTGGCCCCTTAGCCGCCCGTCGGCCCCTTAGCCGCCCGTCGGCCCCATTAGCCGCCCGTCGTCGGCCCCTTAGCCGCCCGTCACGGCCCCTTAGCCGCCCGTCGCCGGCCCCTCAGCCGCCCGTCACGGCCCCTTCGCCACCTGTCGGCCCCTTCGCCGCCCGTCGGCCCCTTAGCCGCCCGTCGCCCCTTAGCCGCCCGTAGTCGGCCCCTTAGCCGCCCGTCACGGCCCCTTCGCCGCCCGTCGTCGGCCCCTTAGCCGCCCGTCGGCCCCTTAGCCGCCCGTCGCGGCCCCTTAGCCGCCCGTAGTCGGCCCCTTAGCCGCCCGTCACGGCCCCTTAGCCGCCCGTCGGCCCCTTAGCCGCCCGTCGGCCCCTTAGCCGCCCGTCGCGGCCCCTTAGCCGCCCGTCGGCCCCTTCGCCGCCCGTCACGGCCCCTTAGCCGCCCGGCCGGCCCCTGCTGGCGCGACCCTGCCGGCCCTTGCTGACGCGCCCCTACCGGCCCCTGCTGACGCGCCCCTGCCGGCCCCTGCTGACGCGCCCCTGCTGACGCGCCCCTGCCGGCCCCTGCTGACGCGCCCCTGCCGGCCCCTGCTGGCGCGGCCTCTTCTGGCGCGGCCCCTACTGTCACAGCCCGCCCCTGCACCCGTCTCTGGTAAGCCGAGCCGCGCCGCCCAGCTGAGCCGCGCCGCCCAGCCGAGCCGCGCCGCCCAGCCGAGCCGCGCTGCCCACTGAGCCGCGCCGCTCTACCAAGCCGCACTGCCCTACCGAGCCGCACTGCCCTGCACTGCCCTCCTGCCTCTGCTGCTATTGCTGCTACTCTTGCTACTACTCCTACTGCTGCTATGGTTAGTCCTACTGTTCTCACCTTTGATGCTGAGGGACGTGCAGTTGACTTTGACGTGTGGGTTGACGACCTACAGCTCTTTCTTCAGTGTGATTCTAGGGATGGGGTATCCCTTTTTGATCACACGTCCGGTGTTTCTACTGCTCCTGCTGCCACTGCTGACAGTACGGTTCGCTCGCAGTGGACCACTCGTGACGCTGTTGCTCGTCTTGCTGTTCGTAGTCACCTGCCGCCTGCTGAGCGTGCGCATTTTGGCCAGTACAAGACTGCTCAGTCTTTGTACGACGCTGTAGTTGCACGCTACTCCTCCCCTGCCACTGCTGCCCTCAGCCGCCTCATGCTGCCGTACCTTTTCCCTGACCTTGCCGCCTTTGCCACAGTCGCTGACCTAGTTGCTCACCTTCGCACTAGTGACGCCCGCTACCGCGCTGCCCTTCCCACTGAGTTCTGTGCCAAGAACCCCCCCCCCATGTACATCACCCTTTACTACCTAGTCACCCGCCTCCCTAACTCCCTTTCTTCAGTCAGGGACCACTTTCTCTCCCTTTGCCCAACCGAGCTGACTGTCGACTTGCTAGAGGAGCGCCTTACTGCAGCTGAGAAGAGTATCTTAGCTGTAGGTGCTTCTCGCGGCGACCGTCGCACCCCTTTCTTTGAGGGGTGTTCCCCTGTTCCCCTTCTCCCCTCTGTTGCTTCTGCTGCTGCTGTTGACCTCGTTGGCACTGAGGAGGTCGGAGCTGCGTCTGCCCCTAGTGGGAGACGCCGCAACAGCAAGGGCAAGGGGAGCAAGGGTGGTGGAGGGGGCGGCGGGGGAGGCGGTGGAGGAGCTGGAGGAGGCGGAGGGGCTGGCGGTGGTGGTGGGGGTGGTACCGGGAGTGGGGGCTTCAGTGGCGGCGGTGGAGGTGGTGGAGGCAGCGGCAGCGGTGGTGGAGGCGGCGGCGGCGGTGGTGCTGGTCGAGGTGCAGCCGCGCAGCGTGGAGGCTTTGGTGGTAGCCAGCGCCAGCAGCAGCCGCGCTCCCGTGAGACCCCGTCGGCCCCGCAGCTTCGTGAGTGGTACGCTGGGCGTGGGATGTCTGGAGGTGCTGGTCCCTGCGCTTACGTTCTTCGCACCGGCAGTCGTCGTGGGGAGACGTGTGGGCTGCCACACACTACGCAACGCTGCTTCGGTAGCTTGACTGACGCCTGGCGTGCCCAGTTTCCTGACGCTGTTGAGCTCCCTCGCTGGCATGATCTGCTTCTGCAGAATGTGCCTATCTTTGATCTTGATTTCGATGCTATCAGAGCCTGTTAAGTCCTGGCCTATGGGTCAGCCTCTCGCTTCCGCTGCTGTTTTTCCGGTTGCGCGCCTCGGGCGCGTGGCGATTTTCGTTCTGTCCCGCGCCCGGGTGGCGCGTGACGTTTTTTCTGCCCGTCGCGGACCCGCCCCTGGCGCCCGCGACGGCGCCCTGAGCCGCCGCGGACCCGCCCCTGGCGCCCTCGACGGTGCCTTGAGCCGCCGCGGACCCGCCCCTGGCGCCCGCGACGGTGCCCTGAGCCGCCGCGGACCCGCCCCTGGCGCCCGCGACGGTGCCTTGAGCCGCCGCGGACCCGCCCCTGGCGCCCGCGACGGTGCCCTGAGCCGCCGCGGACCCGCCCCTAGGGCCCGCGACGGTGCCCTGAGCCGCCGCGGACCCGCCCCTGGCGCCCGCGACGGTGCCCTGAGCCGCCGCGGACCCGCCCCTGGCGCCCGCGACGGTGCCCTGAGCCGCCGCGGACCCGCCCCTGGCGCCCGCGACGGTGCCCTGTGCCGCCGCGGACCCGCCCCTGGCGCCCGTGCCGGTGCCCTGCGCCGCCGCGGACCCGCCCCTGGCGCCCGCGACGGTGCCCTGAGCCGTTGCGGACCCGCCCCTGGCGCCCGCGACGGCGCCTCTACCTCACCCCGCGCCTGCACTCACTGCAGCCGCCCCTGCCCTAAAGCGCGCCGACCCTCTGTAGCCGCTCTGCGGCTTTATCCCCGCCCCCCCCCCCCCCCCTCCTCCCTCCTTCGTCTCCCTGCAGCCGTGGGGGGGAGGGTCTGGGGGTGGCGGGTGTATGGGGTGATGGATGGTGTGTTTCCCTTCCCCTCCTCCTCCTTTCGTTCCCACTGCTGCAGCTGCCGCTGGGGGGGAGGGTGTGAGGGTGTGGGGGAGCCAGGGGAGTGGCATTGGGGTGGCGGGTGTGAGACCAACCAGCCCCCGTCCCTCTGAGGTGGGGGGGGGGGGGGGGGGGGAGGAGAGTAAAGGGGTGGCAGGAGTGCCTGCCCCTTTGCTGCTGTACCTGCTCTGTTACCTTGCCTGCTGTTGCTGTTTTCTCTATCTGTGGTGTACCCCTGCAGGTTGTGTTCTGCACTTAGCTATTCCTGCATGCAGTTACGGGGGGATGTCAGAATTATATTCTTATACCTGCATGTAGTTCTAGCTGTAGTGTAGATATTAACTTTATAGGTGGTGCACCTCTTTGTTTGCTATATGTACCCTAGTGCTATAGTGAACATCCATTCTCCTCTCATCTCTCGACTCTCCCTCCTTGGCACAAACTAGCTCGACCCCACTTTGGCCTAGGCTACTAAGCCTAGGCCCACTTAAACCTAACTAATTATGCCACTATTTCGACAGATGTTACAAAAAAAAAAGTGAAACGGAGTGTCTAGCGACGCTAGATAGGTTTGGTCGAGTGAGATAAACTGCTCGACACTTTAGATCTTTATGTCGAAATCTTTCGCTTTGTCGGACAGGGAAACGACGCTGCTCGACAAGTTTGGCGTCGATTTAAATCGTGACGTACCAGAAATAGAGAAACGACCCCTGTTGTCGAGAATTAACTACGTCGAACGATGTTCAGGGTAAAAATCATATTTCCCGAGCGAGAAATCAGAATATTTTTCGAATTACATTTTCTGATTGGAAAAATATTGCAGTTCTCTTTCGACAAAATCTGAAAATGTCAGGGCAAGTTTTTCATACCGCTCCGTCGAACTGTCACAACACCACAGCACTTTTAGAAATTGTGGTAGACGTTTTACCTTTTTCGGAGAACATATTTGCAGCAATATTTAAAGTCTTGTCGAATGCGCGACAACTTAAGTTCTGTCGAAGAAGGGAAAATTGCAGAAGAAGAGGTATACGCCCTGTCAAAGTGAGAAGTTCTTGTCTAAATATATAGGAAAAATCCACTCGACGGAAAGCGGTGAGCTGAACTACCCTTCCCGTCGAGAAGTCCCGAATTTGCAACAGTACGGCTGACATATATATGCGCATAAGAATACGACATTGAGACGAGGGATTCGGAGGGTTTTTTGGGGGGATTTTTCGCCTGGTCAGGCGGGAGTTTCGGGGTGACCCGAGGGATTCGGAGGGTTTTTCGGTTTGCCCCCGAATGTGCCAGGGGGCGTGGGGCGGCATTGATGACGTCAGCCGTCCCTATACACCCTGTTTCTCGCTACACTGAACTGCGGAAACACACTGAACAGTGGAACTGTTCGTTGGACTTATTCGAAAAGTTTACAATAACCGTCTCTAGGAGGCGGGTGATCCGAAATTTCGTTAACCTGGGTACCCTACCGAGCCATATTAAAAATTCAACTGACCGTCTTCAAAGGTAGCTGACCTCGTCAAACCGAACTGGTGCAAAAGTTGACTATAGCGCGTAATTTGGCGCGTTGAGCCAGAGGGTTCAGTATACCGGAATTCACAATAGCGAGAAACAGGGTGTATTACTGGAAACCCAGCGCCAGAAATGCTGAGAAGCCCCCACAAGGAGTTCGACCTCGCTGCACAAAGAACAGTCTGACCTTACACAACTCACCGAACTGAACACGCTCCAACAGCTCTCCAACAGCCCCACAATGCGCGCTCTTCACATTCAGCTCCGCGGAAATTGTCCCCCTCCTCCAAAACTGCTCGCGCTCAGCCCTTGCTTCATTGAGCAATCCGCGGGAACAAATTCAGGGCAGCTTTGCTGTTTCATGTCGTGGAACAGATTTGAGAAGGCTCATAGATTCGCGAATTCGTCGCAGATTATATCAGATTCCTTAGTGTAAGCCGAAATCCCGAGATGAGCTCATCTGGAGGCCCGTCGGGACCGTCAACGTCAACGGCTGGCGGTTCAGGCCAGGCGTCCGGGCAGCAGCTGGTAGCTGGCCCGAGCAACACGGCTCTCGTTCCTGCTGCCGCTGCTGCTCTCATTCCTGCTGCTCCGGACGTTCAGCCGATGGAGCTGATTGGCCGGCCCACGAACGCCAAATACGGCACGCTGGGCCGGCCCGTGAAGGTTCTGGTGAATTTCTTCAAGGTGGATCTGCGCATCCCCTCCTCGCCTCTCGTCCACTACGACGTGAGTGACATTTCGGTTTCTATTTTCTTGCTGTTTCCTGTCGCATCATTTTTTTTTTTCTCCCTTTTATTTTCGTGGTAATTTTAAGGGCCCTCCCCCTGCTGGCGTATGACCTTGCTCCACGCGCCCACCCCCCTCTCTCCCCCCTCTCTCCCCCCTCTCTCCCCCGTCTCCCCCCAACCTCCCTCCTCTTCCCCCGCACCACAGGTGCGCTTCTCCAAGGATGTGCGCAGCATGGTGGTGCGGAGGGCCATGATGAAGGCCATGTACGACCAGCACCCGGAGACCTTTCCCCAGGACACTCTCCCCCTGCTAGCATACGACGGCCAGAGCACCCTCTTTGCCCTGCGCCCTCTCAAGATCCCGTCGCCCAAGGCGTTCCCTATCAAAATTATGGACGAGCGGTGAGTGCTGTGTGATGCGTGCGAGCGTGTGATGCGTGCGAGCGTGAAGGCGGCCATGTACGAGCAGCACCTACAAGCGGATCCCCTGGAGGCCCTTTCCCCAGCCAGGACACTCTACCCCTGCTCGCATACGACGGGCAGAACGCCCTCTTTGCCCTGCGCCCTCTCAAGATCCCGTCGCCACAGACGTTCCACATCGTGATCATGGATGAGCAGTGAGTGCTGCTGTGTGATGCGCGCGCGCGCGTCTGTGTGTGCGTGCGTGAGTGTGTGTGTGTGTGTGTGTGTGTGTGTGTGTCTGTGTGTGAGCGAGTTATCGCTACTTCGTCCCTGTTCCCTCCTCCCCCGTCCCCATGCCATCTGCTGCCCAGGCCTGTGCCAGCAGCGTGGAGCGATGACGGGGAGCGATGATGGGGAGGCTGCACCGATTCTGAAGTTGGCTAAGAAATCTGTCCCCCCTTCGCTTTCCCCCTCCTCCTCCCACCCACCACTCCGTCCCCCTGTGCGATTCACTGTGCAGACCCCCGCCAGCAGCGCGAGGCGACGACGAGGAAATTGCGGTGTTTGAGTCGACTTAAAATCTGTTCCCTCCTTCTCTCCCTCCGATTTACTGCTTGCCATCCGCTGCTCAGACCCACACCAGCAGCGCGAGGCGATGACGGGGAGGCGGCACTGAAGAGGCCGCGCAAGGAAGATTCGAGGCCGCCGCGAATCAAGGATGAGCTGGACATCACTCTCACGCAGGTGGGTGGGTGGGTGGGTGGGTGGGTGCCTGCCTGCCATCACTCTGGTTATCACTTTTGTTTGAAGTTTTTTCCAGGCGTCTCACGCAGGTGGGTGTGTATCTGACGGCCATGTCACACCATCATCCCCCCATCCTCCCCACACACAGGTGGCGGGAGGCATCTCTCCCAGACACCAAGGCAGCCATCACCCCAGCTACGGCCTCTGTCCCTCCCTCTCCCTTGTTCTCGCCTTACTATCACATCACCCCCTCTTTCCCACCCCCAGGCGGAGGTCTCTTTCAGACATCAAGGCAGCCATCACCCCAGCTGCCACCTCTGTCCCTCCCTGTCCCTTGTTCTCACCTTACCATCACCCCCAACACCCCCCCCCCCCCTCCAGACACAGGTGGCGGAGGTGTCTCTTTCGGACATCAAAGCAGCCATCACCGCAGCTGCCACTTCTGTATTTCCGTGCTCTCTCCGTTGTTCTCACCTTACTTCCATCCCCTCCTCTACCTCCACGCACACAGGTGGCGGAGGTGTCTCTTTCGGACATCAAAGCAGCCATCACCGCAGCTGCCACTTCTGTATTTCCGTGCTCTCTCCGTTGTTCTCACCTTACTTCCATCCCCTCCTCTACCTCCACGCACACAGGTGGCGGAGGTATCCCTTTCGGACATCAAAGCCGCCATCACCCCGCCCCGTGCCCGTGTGCATGCATCCTGCCCCTGCTTCCCTCCACCTCAACCCACCCATCGCACACAGGTGGCGGAGGTATCCCTTTCGGACATCAAGGCCGCCATCACTCCAGCCGCCACCACTGACCCGCTCTTTACCCCTGGCGCTCTCCGCGCCCTCACACCCTCCGAGCCCTCGTTTCACTCTTCCCTGTGCTGCTGTGCACGTGTGCAATGCCCCCAACCCTTCAACTCCTCCCACACACACAGGTGGCGGAGGTATCTCCCTCACACATCAAGGCAGCCACATCACCCCAGCGGCCGCCTCTACCCCCGCTCTCCCTTGTTACTACCTTACTATCAGCCCCCCCCCTTCCCCACCCCACACACACAGGTGGCGGAGGTAGATCTCTCGGCCATCAAAGCGGCCATCACCCCAGCGTGCACCTCTGCTCCTGTCTTTGCCCTGGACGCCCTCCGCGCTCTCGATGTGAAGTTGCGGGACTATGCTGCGCAGCGGTACGCCCTCTGTGCCCTCTGTGCCCTCTGTGCTCCACCTGTGCATGTCCTCTCTGCCATCTGTGCCCTCTCTGTGCCCTCTCTGCCCTCTGTGCCCTCTCCGTGCCCTCTCTGCCCTCTCTGCCCTCTCTGCCCTCTCTGCCCTCTCTGTGCCCTCTCTGTGCCCTCTGTGCTCTCTGTGCCCTCTCTGTGCCCTCTCTGTGCCCTCTCTGTGCCCTCTCTGTGCCCTCTCTGTGCCCTCTCTGTGCCCTCTGTGCTCTCTGTGCCATCTCTGCCCTCTCTGCCCTCTGCGCGGAGCCCTGGACGTCAAGCTCCGTGACTATGCTGCTGAACGGTATGCACGCTCCTTGCTGCATGCCTCCAAACCCCCCCTACATGTACCTGTGCGGTGCGGTGCGGTGCAGTGCAGTGCTGTGCTGTGCTGTGCTGTGCTGTGCTGTGCTGTGCTGTGCTGTGCTGTGCTGTGCTGTGCTGTGCTGTGCTGTGCTGTGCGGAGCGGTGCGGTGCTGTGCTGTGCTGTGCGGTGCTGTGCTGCTGTGCTGAGCGGTGTGGTGCGGCGTGCCGTGCTGTGCTGTGCTGTTCTGTGCTGCAAACTCCCAATTGCCATACATCCAAACATCAATTTTTGAAACATGGATGTTAGAAGGCTGTCAACATTTGTGTACTATATTTTATATCTCGTAGGCTATTTGTAGGTTGGGTGTAAAATTGTAATCCCAACCCTATCTGTTTGGGATTCCCCGTAATCCAACAAATATGCCAACTCATCTTTGAAGATTTGCTTGGATTCCCTAGCTTTACTCAACCCAACCCTGTTTGTACTTAAAGCTGCGGTATACATTTGAAAGGAAGGGTTCAAAAACTTTTGAAATTTGAAAAGTTGCCCCAAACCTGTGGGGCTCACTCCCTAAACCCTGAACCCTGCTGACAAATGTATACTTCAGCTTTAAGGCCTAGTGCCTCCTTTCTCAAATCATCAGTTCAAGCTTCAATTCTGACAATGGATTCCTGTCACCCAGACCGTCTTCACCCTCCTGTCTTTGGCAATACAACACTGGCATCGTCTCAACACTCACATGCCCATCGCCCCCCTCTGCCTCCACCCATGCTCTTTTCCCCCCATCTGCAGCTTCCTGCTGGTGAAGGAAAAGTTTGTTGTTAACAACTTTGGCAATGCGGCACCGACATTGCCTCACACCCGCTCTGCTCCCACCCACCCATGCTCTATCCTCCCTTCCTGCACTGCAGCTTCCTGCTGGTCAAGGACAAGTTCTTTGACAAGAGCTTTGGCAATGTGGCACCGGCATTGTTATAACGCTCACTCGCACACCTGTTGATGCTCTATCCGCCTCCCCTCCTGCACTGCAGCTTCCTGCTGGTCAAGGACAAGTTCTTTGACAAGAGCTTTGGTCGAGTGGCCCCTCTCCCGGGCGGTATCGAGGCATGGACGGGTTTCAACGTGAGCTTCAGGCCCATCCACAACGCGCTGGCGCTCAACCTGGGTGCGTGCTGTGCTGTGTTGTGTGCATGTCAATCAGATTGAGCTGAGTACTTAGCCGTAGGCAGCTTTGGCAGCCGTGTGGCCCCTCTGCCAGGCGGCATTGAGGCATGCGTGGACGGGGTTCAACGTGAGCGTCAGGCCCATCCACAACGATCAAGATTCATGATGGGAGTAGCAGCGAACTTGTGAGAAAACGCTTAGCAGAAAATCAGTGCTGCTTTCCAGGTTCACAAGAAAGAGAAGCCTCGGACAGAAGCTAGAAACCTGGAAAGCAGCACTGATGAAGGCTTAGCGGGGTTCTGTCCCGTTTGGCCGAAACCAGTTTGCGATTAAAGGTTTTTCGAGGTTTGGAGGCTTTGAGATCTTTCTTTTAATTTCTAGGAACAAGTTTCACAGTTTCGATCCTTTTGCTAAGTGTTTTCTCACAAGTTCGCTGCTACTCCCATCATGAATCTTGATCCCATCCACAACGCACTGGCGCTCAACCTGGGTGCGTGCTGCTTGCATGCCAGAGTGCGCTCTGATTGAGGTGCCTAATTGAATAGCTGGCGTGGTTTTGAGAGTTCCTTGAATGCACTCAGCCTGGTTGGGTTGGGTCCTGTCTGCAGCATGCATAGTGCTGCAGCCCATCCCCCGTGTTGGCCCTCACTCCTCCCTGTGTGTGTGTCCCTGTGAATGACAGTCCTTCTCCCCCCACCCCGCCCATGCAGTCTCATCATCCCACACCACAGACATTCTGACAGCGTGCATGGTGCAGCCCATCCCTGTGTTTGACCTGCCCTCTTTGCAGTCTACTCCAATAGCACCTCTCCCCTCTTCCCTCCCCGCTTCCCTCCCAATTTCCCTCCTCATTTCCCTCTCTCCTTTGCTCCCCATTTCCCTCCCCTCTTCCCTCCCCATTTTCCTCCCCCCTTCCCTTCCCCCCCCCCCCCCCACTCCTGTAACCCCCTGCACTCTTCGCTACCACAGACATTGTGACAGCATGCATGGTGCAGCCCATCCCTGTGTTGGACCTCCTCGGGTCCCTCCTCAACCGCAACCCGCCCGACCGCCTTTCTGACGCGGACAGAATCCGGGTACACCTGTCTGCCTGTCTGCCTGTCTGCCTGTCCGCCTGTGTGCCTGCCTGTCTGTCTGCCTGTCTGTCTGTCTGCCTGTCTGTCTGTCTTCCTGTCTGCCTGTCTGCCTGTCTGCCTGTCTGCCTGTCTGCCTGTCTTAAGGTGCTTTTTTCTCTCCTTGTCACTTTGCTGCTCTCGTGAGACGCCTCAGAAAAAGGATCGCTTTGTTACCCGCTCCTTGCCACTGCTCTGTTCCCTCCCTCCGTTCTTCTCTCCCTCCTTCCATCCATTTCTCCCTTCTCCATGTGGACACTCTTTCCTTCCTGCCCTCCTTCTCTCCCTCCCGCCCTCCCTCCCTCCCTCCCTGCCCTCCTGTCTCCCTGGCTTCCGTTTCCCCCCCTCATCTGTCCCCCCAATCCTAGCTGATGGACATTCTCAATAATCCCAGGGCCGAGGGAAGACCGAGGGAGCAGGGACACACACACGGTGGAGGGAAGACCGAGGGAGCAGGGACACACACACGGTGGAGGGAAGACCGAGGGAGCAGGGACACACACACGGTGGAGGGAAGACCGAGGGAGCAGGGACACACACACGGTGGAGGGAAGACCGAGGGAGCAGGGACACACACACGGTGATTCTTAACTCACACTCCCCCTGCTTCTCCCTCCCCCGTCCGCCTCTCCTGATCGCAGCTGAAGGGCATTCTGAGGAACCTGAGGGTGGAGGGAAGGCCTAGTGGTCAGAAGCACAAGGTGTATGACCTCACACGCGAGGGGGCTGCCGACCTCAGGTGTGTTTTTTTTTTTTTCTACATTCGTTAGGTGATTCTGCACCTTCTTCTTCATGTATTTCTGTATGCTGCTCCACTTTCGCTCCTCCGCGGGTGGTTTTCCACCCTGCACAGTTGATTCTGCACCCTTTTCAGGCGATTCTTCATCCCTAGGTGATTCTGCTGTTGTAATTTCATATCTTAAACAACATACATAGGCTAGAATTAGATGTGTAGCACATTTATAAATTGGGGGGTTGTTTCGTGTACCCTCCAACCACATTTTGTGGTTGGTTGGGATTGGTCCTTAACTCAACCAATCCCAACCAACACACATTTGTGGTTGCTTGGGCCACAAGCAAGCTCACCCATTGGTCAACATATTGGCCAATCGGGTAAGCTTCCCTCTCATCTCTCTCTTGCTCATTGTTTGTACTAAAAGGCCTCTTGGCTCATTATTCAATTGATCAATTCTCTCCTTCAACATGGTATCATGAGCTAATGGCTCACGCCTTCATCCCTCGGTCCTTAGGCCACCCTCTCCTCCCCGTCCCTCAGATCTAGCCTTCTAGAACGGAACTGCCATCTCTTCGCGCGCCCTTTAGGCGCTGTCCTCCCTCCCTGCGTGCCCCATAAGGCGCAGCCCTCCAAGGCACTGCTCCACGCACGTCCAGATCTGCAACTCCAGCGCCCAGATCTGCAACTCCAGCGCCCAGATCTGACCTCCCAGCGCCCAGATCTGACCTCCCAGCGCCCAGATCTGCCCTCCCAGCGCCCAGATCTGACCTCCCAGCGCCCAGATCTGCCCTCCCAGCCCCCAGATCTGACCTCCCAGCGCTCAGATCTGCCCTCCCAGCGTCCAGATCTGCCCTCCCAGCGCCTTGATCCGCTCTCCTCGCGCTCGGATCTGCAATTCCAGCGTCCAGATTACTCCTCCCGCGCCCAGATCTACTCCCGCGCCCAGATCTACTCCTCCTGCACCCAGATCTGCACATTTCGTTACCAGATCTACATTCTACGCATCCAGATCTGCATTCCGCGCGACCAGATCTGCATTCCGGGCATCCAGATCTGCACTCAGCGCGACCAGATCTGCACTCAGCGCGACCAGATCTGCATTCCGCGCGACCAGATCTGCATTCCGCGCATCCAGATCTGCACTCCGCGCGACCAAATCTGCACTTAGCGCGACCAGATCTGCATTCCGCGCATCCAAATCTGCGCTCTGCGCGCCCAGATCTGCACACCTCGCGACTAGATCTGCACTTTCCGCACCCAGATCCACTCCTCCCGCGCTCGGATCTGCCACAGGGCTGCCCTCCTCGTCCCTACCCACAGCAGCATCATCAGCGGCATCTGCAGCGACGCCAACAGCAGCACCCTTCCCCCTGCCTTCCCCATAACATCGTTCCCCCCCTCCTCCTCCTCCACCTTCCCCCACCTTCCGCTCCTCCCTTCCTCCTCCCATCCTACGAGCAGCAGGACCAGCAGCGGCAGCAGCGGGACCAGCAGCAGGACCAGCAGCGGCACCAGCAGCAGGACCAGCAGCGGCACCAGCACCGGGACCAGCAGCGGCACCAGCAGCAGGACCAGCAGCGGCACCAGCAGCAGGACCAGCAGCGGCACCAGCCGCAGGACCACCAGCGGCACCAGTAGCAGGACCAGCAGCGCCACCAGCAGCAGTACCCTCGCCCCATCCTCCTCCTGCCCTTGTTTCCACCCACCCTCGTCTCTATGGCATCGTCGGATTCTTTTGTCGACCTTGCTACTGTTGATGCACTCGAGTTGCTACCCGACAACACTGCTGCTAATTGGCACTCCTACGCTCACTCGGTCGAGGTTCTCCTCTCCTCTGTTGTGATCAGTGGCTACAACCTTCGCTCGGTTGTCTTCCAGGAAGGTGGTGGACTTCAGCCCGTGGCCCCCACCGCTCCCACTGGACCTGTCCCCACCCACCCTGGCGCCGAGCCCTCTCCCCCTGGTGATCCTCCCACCTTTGCACCGAATGTCAATGATCCGCAGAGCTCGGAGACCGCCATCCGCACCTACCGCACCAATCTCCAAGACCATCTGCGCCAGCAACTGCGTTACGAGGACGAGAAGCGCATTTATGACGACGCCGCTGCCCGCTACAGCAAGTACCAGGAGGACCTTGACACCTACACCGCAGACCTTGCCAACTACACCACGAAAATCACTGCCTGGCGAGTTGCCGATCGGCGCACGCTTGCCATTCTTCTTGCCACTGTCCCCTCCTCCCTCAAACGCGAGCTCTCACCTACCTCCTCCTCCCACCTGTGGCGACTCCTCGTCGACCTTTTCGATCGGCAAGACGTTGCCACCCTCTACGCCCTCATAAAAGAATTCGGCACTCTCTCCATGGACTCCACTTCTGGAGCCGCTGCCTTCACTCGCCGTGTCCTAGACCTTGCTCGGCGCCTTGCGGCACTCGATGTGGTGTACCCGGACACTGTCATCTGCTGCCACCTCCTCGAGGGCCTCACACCTGCCTTCGACGCTCACAAGCTTGCCTACATGCAGCTTCTCTCCAAGCACCATACCCCTGCTGAAGTCGCTCAGTGGATTATCACCACCGAAGCCGAGATCCTTCGCCACTCTACCTCCACAGTCGCAGTAGCTCAGCCGCGCAGCAGCAGGGGTGGGCGTGGCGGTGGGCGTGGGGGTGGGCGTGGTGGTGGGCGTGGGGGTGGACGAGGCGGATCACCGGGTCGCGGTGGCAGTGGTAGCGGTGGTGCGGGTTGCGGTGCGGCAGCTGCCTTTCCTCTCTGTCAGTACCGGCCTCGCTACGGTCCCACTCAGGGACAGCGCTGCGGCCAAACCACTCATGCCACAGAAACATGCTTCAAGGCACTCAGTGATGAGTGGTTTGCCAGTGGCAACACCGGCACCCCTCCTCGCTGGTCTGCCCTCAACCCACGCCCCACTCCCCTTGAAGTCCGTTCCTCTCCCCTCTATGAGCCTTCCTCCTCCACCCAGGCCCACCAGGCCCTTGCCCCTCCCCAGCAGCAGCAGCAGCAGCTTGGGAGTCAGCAGCAGGGGTTACAGCAGTATGGGCAGCAGCTTCTCTTTTCTCAACTCCAGCAGCAGCTCCAGCATCTCCAGCAGCAGCTCGACCTACAGCCGCAGCTGCCCCTCCTCCCTCCTCCTCCCGTTTCCCACAGCAGCCCTTTCCTACCTGGACTGCCGGGAGTGCTGCCTCCGCAACCCATCTCTCGGGTGCATCTCCAGCGCCGTCTGCAGGTGGCAGTGTGACCGCTTTCCCCTCTTCTGGTTTTGTCGGTTTGCTAGGTCAACCAGAATCTGTTGCATCTCCCATGTACCCTTCCTCTGTTAATGAAACTTCGTTCCAGTACTCTGCCTCACCCTCCTCCACCCTTGACTTCGTCCTGGACAGTGGAGCCACTGACACTGTCCTTCGTGATGCTGGTACACTGCGCCCTCTCCCCACACCCACCTCCCTCCTCGGTGCTGATAGCAGTTTTTCTATCCCCTGTCACAACACTTCCACCCTTGCCTGTCCTCTCTTTCCCTCAGGTACTGTCACCGGTCTCCACATTCCCTCCCTACGCACTAACCTCCTCTCCCAAAGGTCCCTCCAACAAGCCAATATCACCACTGTCTTCCCAGGTGGTGCTAACTACTGTGCCCTTTACAATACTGCTACAGGTCGCCTTCTCTCTCGCATTCCCTTCTGTCCTCGTTCCCGTTTGTACACCCTTCGGATTCCCCGCCCCCCCACCTGCCAAGTCGCCTCTCCCTCTCTCCTCCCTCCCCCTCCCCTCCCTCCCTCTAACCCACCCTTCCCTCCCCGCCCCCCTGACTCTGACTGTTCCTGTCGCTCCCTCTCCCACCCTACCATCCTCCTCCATCACAGGCTAGGTCACCCTAACTTCGCTACTCTGCGCTCCTCTGTCTCCTACGGTCTCCTCCACGGTCTCCCCTCCTCCCTCCCTCCCCTCCCCAAATCCCCTGCCCCCCCCTGCACTGTCTGCGTTCAGAGCAAGCTCAAGCAGCAGCCGCACCGGAGCTCCCCCTCCACTGCTGCACAGCCACTTGACCTTGTTCACATGGACCTCTGGGGCCCTAATCCCTCTCCCACTCGCCAGGGTCATCGCTACCTTCTCGTGCTCGTTGATGATCACAGTCGGTACTCGTCCGTCTCTCTCCTTCGGACGAAGGCGGACGCCCCGGCTGCGATCATCGCCTGGCTCGAGCGGGCAAACACCCATTTTGGGCGCCCTGTTCGCCGCCTTCACTCTGATGGTGGTGGTGAGTTCCTTAACAACCAAGTCTCCTCCTATTGTCAGTCTCGTGGCATTCTTCAGACTTACACCCTCCCTCACTCCTCACAGCAGAACGGTGTGGCTGAGAGTCGTGTTCGAGAGATCACCAAAACAGCCCGGTGTCTTCTTGTTCACGCCTCCTGCCCCCCTTCTCTGTGGGGCTACGCCCTCCTTCATGCCGCCCTTCTTATTAACCTTTACCCTCACCCCCTTCTCCCTTCCACCACCCCCACTGAGCTGTGGACAAAGGACAAGCCTGATGTCTCATCTCTTCGTGTCTGGGGCTCAAAGGCATATGTCCTTATTCATCCCTCTGACCGCTCCCGCTCCATGGGAAAACTTGCCCCTCGCGCCCTTCCCTGCATCTTCCTTGGTCATAATCCTACCTCACCTGACTACCTTTTCCTCCATCCCCCCTCAGGTCGTCTAGTCCGCAGTAGGGATGTGGTCTTTGATGAGTCCACTCCCTACTACTCCTCTCCCCCATCCACTGACCCACTCCCCCCTCTCACCCGTCCCCTTGTCTGGTCTGACACCACCCCTCCCCCATTACTCCCTCCTCCCCCCATCCTCCCGCCTCCCCCCCCTCCGTCGTCCCCGTCCCACGGTGCCCCTCCCTCGTCTGGTGATATCTTTGACCCGGAACCTCTGTCCTCTCCGGTCTCCCCCACACATTCCTCTCCCAGTGCCCCTCCCCCCCTCCTCTCCCCTCCCTCGCCACCGACCCGTCCTTCCCCTCCTCCCCGCACCGTACTTACCCGGTAACCCCATACCAGGTCACGTGACGGTATCCTTGGTGCACCGCCCCCTGTTACCCTCTCTTCCTCTACCCTCCCCCCTCTCTTCCCTCTCCTTCACCACTTCTTCCAGGCTGTTTTGCATCAACCTCCTCCTGCAGCAGCCCCCTCTGCCTCCTCTCCCTCACCAGCAGCAGCGTCCGCAACGGCACCTGCAGCTGCACCAGCAGCAGGACCAGCAGCAGGACCAGCAGCGGCACCAGCAGCAGGACCAGCAGCAGGACCAGCAGCGGCACCAGCAGCAGGACCAGCAGCGGCACCAGCAACGGCACCAGCAACGGCACCAGCAGCGGCACCAGCAGCGGCACCAGCATCGGCACCAGCAGCGGCACCAGCAGCAGCACCAGCAGCCATCCCCGCCTTCCACACCTCCCTCTCTGAGGACTCCCATGAAGAGTTCCTTGACCTCCACCTTTGTAACCCCTCGCTTCTACCCATCACATTCGACCTCTCCGGCACACCCGTCTTCGCTTTCTCCTCTGCTCCCTCCGTTTTCATCCCTACCACGTATGCGGAGGCAATGGCTTGCCCCGACGCCCCACTTTGGCTCGCCGCCATCATCAAGGAGCTGAAGGCCTTTATCGCCAACTCCTCCTTCGTTGATGTGCCTCGCCCTCCCGCCTCTACGAACGTGGTGAAGGGGAAGTGGGTGTTTCACGTCAAGCAGCTGCCAGGGGAGCCGCCCGTCTACAAGGCTCGTTACTGTGCCAAGGGCTTCACGCAGCGGTATGCTGTTGACTTCTTCGATACTTTCTCCCCTACCGCCAAACCTGCTACCGTTCGAGCCGTGCTCGACCTCGCCGCTCGCCTAAATATGGAGATCCAGTCGATGGACGTTTCTAACGCCTTTCTGCAAAGCGTCCTCCGCGAGCTAATCTACATGGAGCGTCCAGCCGGCTTTCACCTTCCCTTCCCAGCTAACTCTGTCTGGCAGCTGCGTCGACTTGTGTATGGGCTCCGACAGACCCCTAGGGAGTGGCATGCTAAGCTTGCCGCCACCCTTGCTGAACTTGGGTTTCGCACCTCCCGCTCCGACGCCAGCCTCTTCCTCCGCGCCTCCCCCTCCCCCTTCTACATCCTTGTGTATGTCGATGACATGATTCTGCTCACAGCCGACCTTGCTGAGCTGGAGAGTGTTAAGGCTGAGTTGGGTAGTCGTCTCAAGTGCAAGGACTTGGGAGAGCTGCAGCATTACCTGGGCATGACCATCACCCGCGATCGCTCCGCCCGCACCATCTCTCTCTCTCCCAGGGTCATTACTTGCAGCAGGTCTTGGAGCGGTTTGACATGGCCCGAGGCGGTGCCCAACATACTCCTCTTTCTGTCGGGCACCACCTCTCTCCACCCACCTCCCCCTCAACCTCCTCCCATCCTTATCCCGAGCTCGTCGGCTCCCTCATGTACGCCATGGTCTCCACTCGCCCTGACCTTGCCTACCCCATCAGCGTCCTCGCTCGTTTTGTTGGCGCAGGCAACCATACGGAAGAGCACTGGCAGGCCGCCAAACGTGTCCTCCGGTACCTTCGTGGCACCAAGGACTATGTCCTTACCCTTGGCGGCCCCTCCCCACCTCTCCTCAGCGGCTACAGTGACTCCTCCTGGGCTGATTCTCGGCCGGATCGTCGCTCCTCACAGGGCTATGGCTTCTCTCTTGGCAGCGGCCTTATCAGCTGGCGCTCCACCCGCTCCTCGGCTATCGCCCTCTCCTCCTGCGAGGCGGAGTTGTATGCCGCTACCATGGCTGCGCAAGAGGCCCGCTGGCTCACCTTCCTTCTTGAGAAACTTGGTGCCCTTCAGCGCTGTCCCACCATGTGGTGTGACAATGCCAGTACTATTCACCTCACTAAGGATGCTGTGTTTCACGGGCGCTCCAAGCACATTGAGCTCCGTCATTTCTTCATTCGCGATCTTGTTCAGGCGGGGCACCTTCGGCTCGACAAGATTGACTCGGCGACCAACCTTGCCGACATCTTCACAAAAGCTCTTCCTCATGCGGCTCACTCTTCACTACTTCATCTCCTTGGCCTCACTCCTCCTAAGTCGTCTCCTGCCTCTTGATTCTAGTCTTCTAGCCTTATGCATGTTGGGGGGTTGTGTTGTAATTTCATATCTTAAACAACATGCATAGGCTAGAATTAGATGTGTAGCACATTTATAAATTGGGGGGTTGTTTAGTGTACCCTCCAACCACATTTTGTGGTTGGTTGGGATTGGTCCTTAACTCAACCAATCCCAATCAACACACATTTGTGGTTGCTTGGGCCACAAGTTAGCTCACCCATTGGTCAACATATTGGCCAATCGGGTAAGCTTCCCTCTCATCTCTCTCTTGCTCATTGTTTGTACTAAAAGGCCTCTTGGCTCATTATTCAATTGATCAATTCTCTCCTTCAACATCTGCAGCTGCATCTTAAACTGTCTGCCCAATCGTACAGGTTTACCAAACACAAAACACCACTAGAATGCCAAGCAGAGTAGAGCAGGGTATATGGTTATATTCACTCTGGTGGTTGAGTTTCACATTGTTGGATGATTCCTGAACGTGCCAGACTGCTATCAGCAGGGCATCGCTCTACCTGCCCCATCCGCCAAACCCTTTCCCTCCCCCACCCCACCCCAACGCCGTCAGGTTCAACGACCGGCGCAGCAACGATGAGAGCCAGAGCGTGACGTAATTATACCCGTGGCAGCACCACAGACATTCCTTCCCTGCACCATCCATCAATCTTCCCTGCTATTTCTGACAGGTTCAACAACCGGCGCAACAACGATGAGAGCCAGAGCGTGGCGGAGTATTTCGAGCGGCAGCACTTCAGACATTCCCTCCCTGCACCATCCATCAATCTCCCCTGCTAACACTGCCCTCCTCTCTTCCCTGCTATTTCTGACAGGTTCAACAACCGGCGCAACAACGATGAGAGCCAGAGCGTGGAAGAGTATTACCAGCGGCAGCACGGCATCACCCTGCGCTTCCCCCACCTGCCCTGCATCTCTGCGTCCAACCGGCCAAACAGGCCTTGCTGGGTGCCCCTGGAGGTGAGACACAGAGTGTGGCAGAGTGAGTCAGATTGTGGCAAAGCAGAGGGGGGCTGAGCTGGGCAGAGGAGCAGGGTGGGGCAGATTGGGGAAGGCTTGCTTAAATCATCGAATCATGTCACGTCTATCTCACAGCTTTGATGCACCTCAGATGATCCTGCTCTGCTGATAATCTGCGGCACATGTGTAGACACATGCGCTCCGCTGATTTGTCTTATCACCTCCCCAGCAGTCAGCACCCACCCATCAGCTGCGCCAGCTGACACCTGTGTATGATCTATTCTGCATACTTGACTGTGCATCATACGTGCGTGCGTGCGCGCCTCCCACCCGCTGTGGAGTGTGGACGCACAGAGGTACCTGCGCCGGCTGACACCTGTAACCCATTAATCTATAATGTCTGTCTCTGTTTCATACATCTGTCTGTGTGTGTCTCTCCCCCTCTCCCTCCTCTCCCACCCACCACCTGTGCAGTGTGGTGGACGCACAGAGGTACCTGCGCCAGCTGACACCTGTGTGTGATCCATTCAGCATAATTGTATGCGCATCATTCCTCTGTGTGTGTGTGTGCCTCTCTCTCACCTTCTCTTCCACCCACCACCTGTGCAGTGTGGTGGATGCACAGAGGTACCTGTGCCAGCTGATACCGCAGCCGGTGGCGGCCATTGGAGCCAGCTGATACCGCAACCTATCTCTCTCCCTCTCCCTGTGTGTGTGTCTCTCCCCCCACCAGCTCTGCAGCGTGGTGGACGCACAGAGGTACCTGCGCCAGCTGACGCCCCAGCAGGTGGCAGCCATCGGCAATCTGCGCCTCAAGCCCGACAAGCGCCGCACCGACATTGCCAACGTGGGTGTCAGCCTGCCCCTTTGCTCCTTGCCCCGTGCTCCTTGCCGCTTGTCTCTCGGCCTGCCTCTCTCTGCGCCTCAACCCCGACAAGCGCCGTGTCGACATCACCAATGTGGGTGTCAGCCAGCCTGCCCCTTTGCCCCTTCCCCGTTGCTTCCTGCCGCTCTTCCCCTTGAGTCTTTTTCTTTCTGCCCCGTGCTGACCCGACAAACGCGGCAATGACATTGCCAACGTGGGTGCCTGCCAAGGAAACCCCATCACTCTCTGCTTGCTCCTTGCCGCTTGTCTCTCTCGCCCTGCCTTTCTCTGCGCCTCAAACCCAACAAGCGTCGCAACGACATTGCCAACGTGGGTGTCTGATTTCTCCCAAACCTCCTGACGCCTTGCCACGTTACTCTCAGCCTGCCTGCCCCTTTGCCTCTTGCTGCTGCTCTGCCCCTTAGCACTTGCCGTTCTGCTCCTTGCCTCTTTTCTCTCTGCCCTGTGCCGCTCTGTGCTTCGAACCCGACAAGTGCTGCAGCGAGATCACCATTGTGGGTGGGTGTTACACATCGCCACAGCACACTTGTCCAGCAAACAAACCTCATGGGTGTCCCTCGCCTTTGCCCCATGACATGGGGCCCATGTGCCTTAGTCTTTCTCCCCCCCCACCTGTTGAATGGTACCCCTCTTACTTATGTTCTTGCATGGCTGGTCAGGCCATGCCACGGCATGTTGACATGGCATTACATGGCATGGTATGGTTACCTGGCATGCATGGCGTGGCATGATGACATAGCGTGATTGCATTGCATGGTGACATTTTATGGTATGGAAATATGGTATGGTTTGGTGATATGGCATGGCGTGACATGGCATATCTCAGGCGGTGGGAGCAGCGGGGCTCGCGAACAACCCTCTCTTGGAGGCCTTTGGAATGCGCATCCAGCCCAACATGATGCAGGCGGATGGCCGCCAGCTAGAGCCTCCCGTTGTAAGCCTGGTGCTGGTGGTGAGATTGTGGTATTGTTGTAAGCACAGTGGTGGTGGTGGTGGTGGTGGTGGTGGTGGTGGTGGTGGTGGTGGTGGGAGGTGGTGGGGGCAGCGGGTCTGGCAAACAACCCTCTGCTGGAGGCGTTTGGTATGCGCATCCAGCCCAACATGATGCAGGCTGATGGCCGCCAGCTGGAGCCTCCCGTTGTAAGCATGCTCGTAGTGGTGAGATGGTGGTGAGATGGTGGCGAGATGGTGGTGGGGACATGGTGATTGTGACATGGTGATTGTGACATGGTGATTGTGACATGGTGATTGTGACATGGTGATTGTGACATGGTGATTGTGACATGGTGGTGGGGACATGTTGATTGTGACATGGTGGTGGGGACATGTTGATGGGAACATGACATTAGATTGGATTGGCGTTCACGTTTCTGCAGCTCCACATGCGATGAGACGATTTCTTAGCCGCGTCAAGAATCTTGTCCGTGCATGCGGTCATGTCCGACCCAACTGACTGCTCCTCTTTTGGTCTCTCCCTGCTGCTGCTGTGGCCACTGCAGCTGCAGTTCGGCGAGAGCGGCACCATGCAGCCTCGGTATGTTGTGTTATTAATCAACTCAACCTCTTCCACTGCACGTTTGGTCCCCCTTTGCTCCCGCTGTTCATATCCCTGCTCTCGCTCTTCCCATGCAGCTGCAGTTCAGCAAGAAGGGCTCCATGCAGCCTCGCGACGTTGCGCTACTAATCAAATCCCGCTGCTCGTTTTCTTGTTTGCTCGTTTGGTCTGCTCTCCCTGCCCTGCTCTCGTTGATCCCACTGCTGCAGCTGCAGTTTGGTGAGAAGGGCACCTTGCAACCTCGCGACGGGCAGTGGAACATGAACGACAAGGTGAGGGGCAGTACTGGGGGCGTGAACCATCAGGTTCGGGTTGTTGTATTGTGAAAAAAAATGTGTGGGTGGGGCAGTGGATTATGAATGTCAATATGAGGGGCAGTGATGATGAATGAACCATCAGGTGGGTTCTCAGGGACAGTTAAACTCGCCATAAGGTCACCATGCGTACTCCATCCCCCCTCTCCCTCATTTTCTTCTTCATTTTTCCGCATCTTCCTCTTCCCTCCTGTCCTGTACGTCCCCCTCCCCTCTCCTATGCTGCACATAGTAGAGCCGTCCACCGAGCCAACCATCCCAGCGCATACTCCAAACATGTGCATTATCCCACCACTGCGTGCATGAAACACCCCTTGCAACACGTGCTGCTCAACCCTCAACCAACCCCTCTGTCCCCTCGTATCCCTTGCGCCCGTGCCGCATGTTTGCACCTGCCACCATCAGCACAACCCCTCCTTTCCCGCGTGTCCCCTGCGCCCGTGCCGCATGCATCGCATGTTTGCACCCGCCACCATCAGCACAACCCCTCCTTCCCCTCCTTTCCCGCGTGTCCCTTGCGCCCGTGCCGCATGCATCGCATGTTTGCACCCGCCACCATCAGCACAACCCCTCCTTCCCCTCCTTTCCCGCGTGTCCCTTGCGCCCGTGCCGCATGCATCGCATGTTTGCACCCGCCACCATCAGCACAACCCCTCCTTCCCCTCCTTTCCCGCGTGTCCCTTGCGCCCGTGCCGCATGCATCGCATGTTTGCACCCGCCACCATCAGCACAACCCCTCCTTCCCCTCCTTTCCCGCGTGTCCCTTGCGCCCGTGCCGCATGCATCGCATGTTTGCACCCGCCACCATCAGCACAACCCCTCCTTCCCCTCCTTTCCCGCGTGTCCCTTGCGCCCGTGCCGCATGCATCGCATGTTTGCACCCGCCACCATCAGCACAACCCCTCCTTCCCCTCCTTTCCCTCGCATCCCTTGCGCCCGTGCCACATGCACCGCATGATTGCAATTGCACCTGCGAAAATCGACACTTGGCGGGGGTGTGTTTCGACGATCGCGTGAGAGACCCCTTGCAACGAATGCTGCTCACTCAACCCTCAACACACCCCTCCATCCCTTCGTGTTCTCTCTCTCTCTCTCTCTCTCTCTCTCTCTCTCTCTCTCTCTCTCTCTCTCTCTCTCTCTCTCACTCGCCCGTGCCATGTGCAGCGCATGTTTGCACCAGCCAAAATCGGAACGTGGGCAGTGGTGTGTTTCGACCACCGTGTGAGGGACCCCATGCAGGTGGCGACTGCCCTCAAGGAGTGCTGTGCGCGCAAGGGGCTGGTGAGTGTGGAGCCATTCCATCACCGCAGAATGCCTGACAAGTGTGTTTATTGAGCCTAGCCTTGGCACTAGTGTGCTTCGATCGATCACCGTGTGAGGGACCCCATGCAGGTGGCGACTGCCCTCAAGGAGTGCCGTGCGCGCAAGGGGCTGGTGAGTGCGGCTGGTGAGTGTGAAGCCATTCAGTTGCTGCAGAATGCCTAGCAAGTGTGCCCATCCTAGCCTAGCCTAGCCACCAGTGTGTTTCGACCACTGCGTGAGACACCCCATGCAGTTGATTATTGCCCTCAAGACTGCCGTGCAGGCAAGGGGCTGGTGAGTGCGGATCGGATAGGCGGATTGCGTTTACTCTTCCCCTGCTATTTTCCCACCCCCTTGATATTTACGCTTTTAGAGAGTTCAGTCAGTTTTTTTTTCATCTCTCGCTTGTACGCTCTTCTGCATTCACAAGGAGCTGGTGAGTGCTCAAACCCTCCATTCCCTCTTGTCCTCCTCAATTCAGTTCGTGCGGTGGTGTGCTGCATCAGAGAGTGGGTGACTGGCTTTTTTGTTGACACTCCATGCCATGCCATCCTCATTGACTGCAGTGGCATGCATACTTCGTGCTGCATGCGAAAGTGGACATCAAAGCATCCCTATAAACATGCCCTTTCAGACGATCAACACCCCCCCAAAGGTGAGACATACGAGTCTATATCGAGGCACCACATACACATACTCAAGCCACCTTCCACTTCCACCTCACTGCACCTCACTAAACCCCATCCCCCTCTCAGGTGATCGAGAGCCGGCCAGAGGTGATTGTGGAGGACACGCGCAGAGAGGCGCGTGAGAAGCTGGTGGAGCGGGTGATCGAGCGCCTGAAGAACTTAAAGCCCGCTCTCACTCTCCTGTTCCCTCTCAGGTGATCGAGAGCCGCCCAGAGGTGATTGGGGAGGACACGCGCAGAGAGCCACCCCTGGCGCTGATGGAGAGCGGGTGATCGAGCGCTTGAAGATCTTAAAGCCCGATGTCATTCCCCCATTGCCTCTCAGGTGATCGAGAGCCGCCCAGAGGTGATTGTGGAGGACACGCGCAGAGAGACGCCTGAGAAGCTGGTGGAGCGGGTGATCGAGCGCCTGAAGCAATTCAAGCCTGCTTTTGTTCTCTGGATCCTCGAAGTCCGGAAGACCAGCCCGCTGTACGGTAGGTTTGGTGGGGATGCCAGTAGTTGTGCTCTCCTCCCCCCCTCCCGCCCCGCTCACCCCCTCGTCACCTCCTCTTCACCTTATCCTCACATCCAAGAGTTTCAAGCCTGCTTTTGTCCTCTGGATCCTGGAAGTTCGGAAGACCAGCCCGCTGTATGGTACGTGGGGTGGGGATGCCAGTTGTTGTGCTCTCCTTCCCCCCTCACCTCCTCCCCACATCCTCCAAGAGATTTAAGCTCTATTTCATTCTCTGATCCTAGAAGTCTAAATGGAGAGAGCGCTGTATCCATGCCAATCAATGTGTGGCACCACCACTGCCTCCACTCCACCCACTCCCCCAAACCTTTCACCACCACTTTATCTCTCGCAATACCTATTTAGAAGCTGTGCATGTGCATTGGAGCTCCTGGGGTGTGTGGCATTCCATGAGGCACGTGAATGGGCACTATGTGCATCGTGCAGGCGGGCACAGGCAGCCTAAACGGTTCTGTTGGCTTCCTGATTCTTTTCTCCTCATACCCGGAAGTGCCCATCCATAGAAGCGCCACGCAACGTGTCGTGCTTCAACGAACAGTACCTCTCTCAACCTCTCTCTACCATGCGGTGGGCTCCTCCTCCCCCTCCCCTGCAGCGCCCATCAAGAAGCTGTGTGACACAGTCATAGGCGTGCCCACGCAGTGCATCGTACAGCCGCCAGGCAAGGGCTTTAACGACCAGTACCTCACCAACGTGGCTCTCAAGATGAACATGAAGGTGGGGGGATTATGATGGGCCTTGAAGTGCGCACATGGGCTTTAAGGTGGGGACATGTGCTTTGAAGTGGGCACATGGGCCTTGAAGTGGGCACATGGGCATTCAGGCTTGTGCATGGGGTTTATGGTGAGAGCGAGGGGCATGTGGTGAAGATGGGGTGGGGTCCGTGGGGACATAGGCTTTAAGTTTGTTGACCACCTCAGTGAGAAGCCTTCGGCTCTGGTGTCTCTCGTATATCTTGCAACTCTCTCAATCCCCATGCATCCCATCTTATCAACCCACTATCAGATGAGGGGAGTGAACTGGGTGCTGACAGACACCATCAGGCGCTCCATGCGCCCCCTCAATGAGATGCCCACCATGGTATTCGGCCTCGACGTCTCCCACGGTGCTCCGGGCAGCCACGCTCCGTCTGTCGCTGCTGTGAGTGCATGAATGAATGCATCTCACATGCACCTATCATCAGTAATCGCTTCTGTGAGTGCACAGGCATGCGTGCGTGCATGCATCTTTCATTAGCGCATCGGTCATCTGCACCAGCACTCCGGCCTCCACGGTGCTCCGGGCAGCCGCACTCCCTTTGTCGCTGCTGTGAGTGCATGCATCGATCGTGTCGTTGAGAGGGTTCGATATCGAACTGGCAGGCCAAGAAAAAGTTCAGTTCAGTTTGATGCGAACTGAACTGCATCAAACCTAAGTGGACATGGACGCGTCCAGCGTCCCATACGCTAGCGTATATACGCTGGACGCTCTGATGTCGACGCTAGATATACACTTGGCTCGGGCATGCAAAAATATTTCCCGAGCAGGACGAACAAAAAGGGGGGGAGAGGGCGAAGAGGAGGTGGCGGAATACAAAAACAATCGGAATTCTCCAAATAAATCATTTGTGAGCTCCCACACACAACCAAGCATGCCAAACACACACTCGAACCCATCTACGAATACTCATCAGCAAGCACCCGATTATCTTCCTCCTCCCCTTCATCCTCGCCCTCCTCTGGGACGATGCAATCCGCACATGGCGTGCGTTTCAAAGTCTCTTTATCACGTCGCCTAGGAGTCCCTATGGCGGCTGCACTGCCGGGAGGGGCTCTTCGATCTCCATGAGTACCACCTCCGCCTAGTGGAATGCTCTATTATCTGCGACGGTATGAACACTGAGACACAACTTGTTGAGAGCACTAAAGCACACCGTCGCAGAGATTTTCAGTGCATGCTGGAGCTTATGAATGATGACGTGGACTATCGAGCCCTCGCGCAACTACTCCAGTGGTGTCCAGGCGTGATAAGCGTGTGGCGAGTAGCAGAGGCTGAGCAGGAGCATGACAGCGATAAGCCACTCATGCGATTGCATGATGGGCGATTCTTTTATGGCCTCGAGTTTGAAAGTGAGGGCCTGACCACGTGGTGCCCCTGTCACCCACACGAACTGGACTACGCCGATTATTTGGCTGTTTGACAAGGACTTCCATAAAGTCTTTCCCAACATGAAGTCCTTGTCGAACAGCCAGATGATCGTCGTAGTCCAGTTCGTGTGGGTGACAGGGGCACCACAAGGGCAGACCCTCACTGTCAAATTCGAAGCCATAAAAAATGCCTACCAGACTATCTCTGGTTAGGAGATGAGCCTGCCAGAGATGGTCGATCTACTTACGAAGGTGTTGAAATATTGGGTTTTCTAGATTAGAAGGGTTGAAATGCGGTGGCAACTGAAATTGCAATGACGAATTGTTGGATCTGGTTCGGTTTTGGTGCCACTGAACCAGATCCACATCAAAATTACATTCGCTCTGAAATCGCGAATGTACATTTCGTCGCGCATTTTTTTTTTCATCGGGCTGCCCGAAAACTTGGGGCGAGCGTCTAGCGACCAGGGAGCGTCCAGCGCCCAGCGTACGGACGCTAGCATATATAGGCTGGACGCTCGCCGTCCAGAGCGTATATGTCCACTTAGCATCAAACCAAACCACGGTTCGATTTTTTCGCTCAACCTACGCCATACTGCACATCCATTCCTCCCACACCCCTCCGCAACCCGACTTCACAAATTCCTTCAACCCCTTTGTCTTCCCCGTACCCCCACCAGGTGGTTGCCTCTATGGACCCCAATGCCAGCAAGTACGCGGTGCGGAGGCGCGCACAGCACAGGAGGCAGGAGACAATTCTCGGCCTCTTCGATGCAGAAAGTGACACTGGCGGCATGCTCTGGTGCGTAGCATGTTGTGGTTGTTTTTTTGGAAGGTTATTGTGGTCACGGGTTTGTTTGCTCGTTGTTTTGTGCTTTAAATCAGATATTTTATTGTTTACTTGCTATTTTCTTTCCGTTACCTTAACTTGAGCATTCTTGCATCCCTCCCTCCTCTTCCCCTCCTCCTGCCCTCCTCTTGCCCTCCTCCCGCCCTTTTTTCTTGTACTCTCTTCTTCGCTCCCTCCCCTCCCCCTCCTTCCTCCTTTTTACCCTTCTCTCATCCTTCGCGGCCCCTGTTCCCCCCCTGCTCGCGCTCCTCTCGCCCCCACATCCTGCTCTCTTTCTCTCCGTGTATCCAACACGGTGCCGTGCAGTGAGCTGATGAACGATTCTTTCCCCCCCCTGCTCTCGCCCCCATATCCTGCTCCCTTTCTCTTTCTGTATCCAACACGGTGCGGTGCGGTGCAGTGAGCTGATGAATGATTTCGGCAATGCCAACAAGATGGGACCCAAGCGCATCATCGTGTTCCGGTGAGCACCTTTGAGCAGGGCAGGCTGGGGATGTGCGTGTTTGAGGCGCCTCAAGATCTGGCAATGCAAACAGGTCGGGGTTTAGGAGCATAATGATTTTGTACCGGTGAGCTCGCACGAGCAGGGCTGGCTGGGGATTTGCGTACAAGTGATTGCTGCTGCTGCTGCATGCATTGATATGGCTGGAGGAATGAACAATCTGATGTATGATGGCTGGAGGAATGAACAATCTGATGTATGATGGCTGGAGGAATGAACAATCTGATGTATGATGGCTGGAGGAATGAACAAGCTGATGTATGCACATGTACGAATTGGCTATATAGTCAATTCAATAGTCCAGGTGCCGGCTTGCCAGCTAGTTGCAAATTCGGAATTGCCCACATACTGAGCTTCTTCCTATTCTCCTGTCGCAACTTCTCTCCTCTGCTCCTTGTTCCCTCACTTCGCGTGCACGTGAGTCACAGGGACGGCATCAGCGAGTCGCAGTTTCCAACAGTGGGGGCAACAGAGCTGCAGGCATTCCGCAAGGTGAGATGGGATGCAGATGGGTGGATGAAGGGAGGGTGAGGGAGGGACGAGGATGGGTGGATGGAAGTAGGGTGAGAGAGGGATGCAGATGGGTGGATGAAGGGAGGGTGAGGGAGGGACGAGGATGGGTGGATGGAAGGAGGGTGAGAGAGGGATGCAGATGGGTGGATGAAGGGAGGGTGAGGGAGGGACGAGGATGGGTGGATGGAAGGAGGGAGAGAGAGGGACGCGGATGGGTGGATGGAGGGAGGGTGAGGAAGGGATGCGGATGGGTGGATGGAAGGAGGGTGAGAGAGGGATGCAGATGGGTGGATGAAGGGAGGGTGAGGGAGGGACGAGGATGGGTGGATGGAAGGAGGGAGAGAGAGGGATGCAGATGGGTGGATGAAGGGAGGGTGAGGGAGGGACGCGGATGGGTGGATGGAAGTAGGGTGAGAGAGGGATGCAGATGGGTGGATGAAGGGAGGGTGAGGGAGGGACGAGGATGGGTGGATGGAAGGAGGTAGAGAGAGGGACGCGGATGGGTGGATGGAAGGAGGGAGAGAGAGGGACGCGGATGGGTGGATGGAGGGAGGGTGAGGAAGGGATGCGGATGGGTGGATGAATGGGGGGTGAGGGAGGGACGAGGATGGGTGGATGGAAGGAGGGAGAGAGAGGGATGCAGATGGGTGGATGAAGGGAGGGTGAGGGAGGGACGCGGATGGGTGGATGGAAGGAGGGAGAGAGAGGGATGCAGATGGGTGGATGAAGGGAGGGTGAGGGAGGGACGCGGATGGGTGGATGGAAGGAGGGTGAGAGAGGGATGCAGATGGGTGGATGAAGGGAGGGTGAGGGAGGGACGCGGATGGGTGGATGGAAGGAGGGAGAGAGAGGGATGCAGATGGGTGGATGAAGGGAGGGTGAGGGAGGGACGCGGATGGGTGGATGGAAGGAGGGTGAGAGAGGGATGCAGATGGGTGGATGAAGGGAGGGTGAGGGAGGGACGAGGATGGGTGGATGGAAGGAGGGAGAGAGAGGGACGCGGATGGGTGGATGGAAGGAGGGTGAGAGAGGGATGCAGATGGGTGGATGGAAGGAGGGTGAGGGAGGGACGAGGATGGGTGGATGGAAGGAGGGAGAGAGAGGGACGCGGATGGGTGGATGGAGGGAGGGTGAGGAAGGGACGCGGATGGGTGGATGAATGGGGGGTGAGGGAGGGACGAGGATGGGTGGATGGAAGGAGGGAGAGAGAGGGATGCAGATGGGTGGATGAAGGGAGGGTGAGGGAGGGACGCGGATGGGTGGATGGAAGGAGGGAGAGAGAGGGATGCAGATGGGTGGATGAAGGGAGGGTGAGGGAGGGACGCGGATGGGTGGATGGAAGGAGGGTCAGAGAGGGATGCAGATGGGTGGATGAAGGGAGGGTGAGGGAGGGACGAGGATGGGTGGATGGAAGGAGGGTGAGAGAGGGATGCAGATGGGTGGATGAAGGGAGGGTGAGGGAGGGACGAGGATGGGTGGATGGAAGGAGGGAGAGAGAGGGACGCGGATGGGTGGATGGAAGGAGGGTGAGAGAGGGATGCAGATGGGTGGATGGAAGGAGGGTGAGGGAGGGACGAGGATGGGTGGATGGAAGGAGGGAGAGAGAGGGACGCGGATGGGTGGATGGAAGGAGGGAGAGAGAGGGACGCAGATGGGTGGATGAATGGGGGGTGAGGGAGGGACGCGAATGGGTAAATGAAGAGGTGATGGAGATGGGTGTAAGCGGCATGCACGCTGGTACAAACAGATTGCAGCAGTGCCAGGTGGCTGACAAGAGGCAGGAAGGTGGGTGGAAAGGGGGTGTTTTTTCTCCCTTCCCTTCCCCACCTCCCCACTTCACCCCTTCCTTCCTTTCCCTCATCCTTCCCTTCCCCCTTGCCGTTTTCCCCTCTTTCCTCCCTTCCCCTGCAGGCGTTCGAGTTGACGAGTAAGGTGGTGGGAATCCCCTCCTTCCGCCCCGCCATCACCTACATCGTGGCGCAGAAGCGCAACAACGTGCACTTCCTCCTCATTCCTCCCTTTCCCCTTCACCCTTCCCCGTTCTCCCTTCCCCCTTCCCCCTTCCCCTTTCCCCTTCCAACTCCCCTTTCCCCCTTCCCCCTTCTCCCTTGTCTCCCTCTCCCAGGCGTTTGAGCTGACGGGCAAGAAGGTGGGGGTCCCCAACTTCCGCCCCGCCATCACATGCATCGTGGCGCAGAAGCACAACAACGTGCGCTTCCTCCTCGCCCCTCCCCCTCCCCCTTCCCGCTTCCCCTTCCCCCTCTCCCCATCCCTCTTCCCCCTTCCCCTTCTCCCTTCTCTCCCTTTCCCAGGCGTTCGAGTTGACGGGCAAGAAGGTGGGGGTCCCCAACTTCCGCCCCGCCATCACCTACATCGTCGCACAGAAGCGCAACAACGTGCGCTTCCTGCCGTCCCAGGGCGACCGCAACGTGCAGCCGGGGACCATCGTGGATAAGGATGTGACCCACCCTTTCTTCTTCGACTTTTACATGGTCTCGCACAAGGGGCTGCTGGTATGTATGCCGTGCAGGGAGGGCTCTCTGGTTTGGTATGAGGTGAAGCACAGAAGCGAAACAACGTGCGCTTCCTGCCCTCTCAGGGCAGCTACAACGTGCCGCCGGGGACCATCGTGGATAAGGATGTGACACACCCCTTTTTCTTCGACTTCTACATGGTCTCGCACAAGGGGCTGCTGGTATGTATGCCGTGCAGGGAGGGCTCTCTGGTTTGGTATGAGGTGAAGCACAGAAGCGAAACAACGTGCGCTTCCTGCCCTCTCAGGGCAGCTACAACGTGCCGCCGGGGACCATCGTGGATAAGGATGTGACGCACCCCTTTTTATTCGACTTCTACATGGTCTCGCACAAGGGCCTGCTGGTAAGTCCGTGGCACACGATACTCAATCATTGAAGCGCCTCAGAAGGTGGGTGACTCTCTACGCCTGCTTCCTGCTGTCCCATCCGTTTTGTCAGATGATGGTGAGAGCGAATCCCGACATTGCTCGAGGATGTCATTACTACGACGGTTCTGTCTGAAGTCCTTCCGAAATTAACCAGACATGAAAAGGGCGAGTCCAGGCTCGTGTGAAATTCTTGGTAGACAATAGTTGACAAAAGCCAAGGAGTACGTTTTCCCCTAAATTTAGAGTTCCCCGCAAGACATGGGCTTTGAGAAAGTAGCAGTGGCACAAATGATTAATGACGTTCTCTTTTTGTGGCAGGATTTGCCCGCAAAGATTCGCAGCAAGCTTGTGGAGTGGAGAGGAGTTCATATGAAGATATTCGAAACGGAAACTGGGAATGCTTTGCCTGTTCCAAGGTTTATTCCGATCTGGAAGACTTGATAAGGCGCGCCCGTCAGAATTTAAGGCTCGAGCAAAGGGTGGCGCACAGGGCGACCGAGCAGAACATCCTGACCGATGACGATGATCATTGCGGTGTTCTGCGAGCGTGCTCAGGATGTTCTGCTCAGTCGCCTTGTGCGCCACCCTCTGCTCGGGCCTCGAATACAGACGGGCGTGCCTTATCAAGTCTTCCAGATCGGAATAAACCTCGGACCAGGCAGAGCACTCCCAGTTTCCATTTTTGGTATTTTCGTATGATCCCCTCTTCACGAGCTCGTTGCGAATCTTTGCGGGCAAGTCCCGCCAATGCAAAGAGAACGTCATTAATCATTAGTGCCACTGCTAACTTTGCAATACTCATGTCTTGCGAGGAACTCTAAATTCAAGGGAAAAGGTATTGCTTGGTTTTTGTCAACTACTGTCTTCCAGGATTTGCACACGAGCCTGAGCTCGCCCTTTTCGTGTATGGTTAACTCTGGAAGGACTTCATACATAATGGATGTAGTAATGACATCCTCGGGCAACGTCGGGAGTTTTCTCTCACCATCACCTGAAAAAAACGGATGTCAAAATTCAAAGGGACCGAGATGTCCAGCCGAGGACCATTGTGGACCGCGAGGTGACGCACATCTTCTTCTTCGACTTCTACAGGGTTTCGCACAAGGGCCTGCTGGTATGTGTGTGCATTGTGTCGTACGGCAATGTATGTTTGTGCTACATGGTCTGGTATGTAAACCAAGGATCATCGTGGACCGCGATGTCACTCATCCCTTCTTCTTTGATTTCTAAGTGGTCTCGCTCGAGGGCCTGCTGGTATGTAGGACCTAAATTAGAGAGCACACTAGGGAGGGGAAACGTATTACATGTTTATACCCTGGCCCACCGGGGACCATCGTGGACAGGACAGGGATGTGAACCATCCTTACTTATTTGACGTCTATATGGTTTCACACAAGGGCCTGCGGGTATGTAGTGCACTATGGAGGGGAATCGTGTTGCGTATGTACGCCGAGGCTTGATGGAAACAGGCTTATACCCCCGTTCCAATGTTTTTCCCCCAACAGGGCACGAGCAGGCCAGTGCACTACCACGTGCTGCATGATGAGAATGGGCCTACTCCGTTCCTTCTCTCCTCAGCATTCATACACCAATCCCTCTATGTGACTGTCTTCCTCTCAACAGGGCACGAGTAGGCCAGTGCACTACCACGTGCTGCATGATGAGAATGGGTTCACTGCGGACGAGATTCAGCACCTCACGCACTCCCTATGCTACAGGTGAGTCCCAGTGAGCATGACAATGAGCAGCGAGAATGAGTAGCTATTTGACTGGGTTCACAGCAGACGAGATTCAGCACCTGACGCACTCCCTCTGCTACAGGTGAGCTCAGCATTCCACCTTCGGTGCTGGGCTTAAAATGTATGTAGTGCCGATCATGCTCGAAACACCAGAAGCAGGACATTGAATGGTGTTGCACGTTAACTCCAGATGGTTATCACACGTTCTTGGTTATGTCAATAGTGTGCTTGCTACTAACCAGCATTTTATTTTCTTCTTGCATGATTGCCTTTCTCTTATGGCAGTTATGGGAGATGCACTCGAGCCGTCTCCACTGGTACGCCCTCTCTCTCCCTACACCACCCTCACAACTTATATGTAAACCTTTTGCGACATCTCAAAAGCAGTCTTGAGACGTCTCAAAAACAGCCTTAAGACGTCTCAAATGGGAGGTGCACTCGAGCCGTCTCCACTGGTACTCTCTCCCTCCCCTCACAACACCCTTACAACTTTTAAGTACGTCAAATTACATACAACTTACACCCTTATAAACTGATTCATGTGTTAAAATTCACAACCATCGTGCCATCTATATTCTCTCCGTAGTGCACACTTCTGAACCCCTGCAGGGCACACTGCCACAGTTGCTTTGGGTTCAACTCCACTGACCTCTCCTCCAAGTCCCCTGCTGGCCAAGGCTGCTTCACCCACGTGCCCACTGCCTCATGCATGCACACATGCTCTCCTGCCACCTCTATCCCTCTATCCCTGTGGCTCTCTGTCGTTCTATCCCCCCTCCCCCCCACCCTTCCCTCCAGTGGCGCCTGTATTACCAGAAGTGGTTGTCTATTCCTTTCTCCCTCTCCCCCCCCCTCCCTCCCTCCCAGTGGCGCCTGTGTTCTACGCGCACCTGGCAGCGACGCACTGCCGCAACCACTTTGACCACGATCATGATCACGACGCCACCGAGTTCTCCTCCGAGGCCACTGCCTCATGCATGCTCCCATGCTTCCCTGCTCCCATGCTCCTCTGCCAACTGTGTCACCCTGCCCCTGTATCCCTCTGCCCCTGTGTCCCTGCCCCTCTCCTCCCTCCCTCCCAGTGGCACCTGTGTTCTACGCACACCTGGCAGCGACGCACTGCCGCAACCACTTCGACCACGGTCACGATCACGATGCCACCGACTTCTCCTCCGAGTCTAGTGCCGGCCGCAACAGGGACCCTGGCGTCCCTCGCCCTCCCCCGCCGCCTGTGCCTGAGCTACCTGCTCTCGCTCAGGGCATGCCCACACGCATGTTCTACTGTTGAGTTTAAATGCGTCTCAAGACACCGCTGCCCCTCGTCCTCCCCTTCTTCCCTCGCCACCCCCCTCCGCATGTGCCTGAGCTGCCTGCTCTCGCTCAGGGCATGCCCACACGCATGTTCTACTGCTGAGTTTCGAGACGTTCCAAGACGCCGCTGCCCCTCGTCCTCCCCTTCTTCCCCTCGCCCTCCCCCGCCGCCCGTGCCTGAGCTGCCTCTTCTCGCTCAGGGCATGCCCGCTGCATGTTCTACTGCTGAGTTCGAGACGTCTCAAGACGCCGCCGCCCCTCTCCCTTCCCCTCCTACCCCTGAGCCGCCTAATCTCGCTCACTGCATCCCCACATGCATTTTCTTCGCTGAGTTTGAAGACGTGAAAAGGTGTTGTTCGATTCAGTAGCTGTATTAAGGTGTTGTTCGCCTTACCAAGTCGCGCGAATGATAAGAAAACTATTAGGTACTCTAATGGGCATATGATGACAACAGGTGTAACGAGCAGAAAGCGTATTACTACAGTACCGTATGGCCCCGGATACAAGCGCAGGCCTATTAAAAGCGCATGCGCTTGTATCTGGAGCAATGCGCTTATGGCCGATCCTCAATTATAAGCGCACCCCTTATAAAACCCTGATATATTATAAGCGCATGTGTAATTTTATTTATAATTCTTCATTAAAACGGTAACGAATCTCAGTTTTGCAGCGAGGCCACAACCCATTTTCGCTTACATTGACTTTCGAAGACCTCTCACATCCTGCGCGTCTAGTCAGCACGAGCTGGCACGCCCTCAAAGTGAGGTGTTACACTGTATTTTGCCTCTGGGCGCTCGCGAAGAATCGCCCGCGTGCGATTTTGACATGTGACTTTCTACAATTTCGATTCGATTGAAATCTGAAGGATGAGATGTACAATTTGGTGCATTGAAATATATATTTGTATTTGTTATATTATAAGCGCATGCGCTTATAATTTTTACTCAATTATAAGCGCACCCCCCAAAAAAACACTGTTTTATTATAAGCGCAGGTGCGCTTATATCCGGGGTAATACGGTATCTCTACAGTGTTGAACTGACGCATGCACGTGGGGGTAGACAGGGTTAGAATGAATGCTTGATTGTCCTTCCTCATGACAAGCTGTTTATCAATTACTTTTTTTTTTTTTTTTTTTTTGGACATAAGTACACTAGACGTATACATACATCCGCAGTCGTAACTGATGCTAGGAGGGCATGAAAATGGTTACAAGTGTTGAGATAATATCGAGACTTAAGCACTTCAAGGAATTCGTGTAGTACAGTTAGTACAGTGCGAGACTTCGCACGTAATAGTAAAGTACCGATAGGCTGACGTCAGCAAAGCGCTACGCGCCCTAGGATGACATCAGCACGTAGCTATAGGCCTCGCAAATAGTCACGTACCGTTTCAGAACACTAATAGCGTGGATAGCACAGTACAGTATGCGAATAGGTACTTTACTCTAGCTATATATTCAGTATGTTTGTCATTTTATAATATATCTGATTTCAGAGACATTGATCCTGAAACACATCACTACATGGGCTTATATTAGTCCAGACAAAGCCTTCTATAACTGGCTTTAACTCATATAAGACTTCCGCTACGACAGGAAGCTACCATCCTAAGTATTACGATCCTATTCAATCATTTCAAATTCTAACAACAAGTAACCAAACCCCCCTTATCCCTTTACGGAGGCTGGAAAGCTACACCGCCATCTTCCCAGATTGCTTTGAAACCTGCTCTCCACGTCATCGAAGCCTCGTTCTCGTAAAGTCTGCGCATGGCGTTTGCCTCGTCAGCGTTCAAGTGGCCCCAGTCACCCGTCCTTTTCGAACCACTTCTGCCAACCATCCTCTTCCGCGCTCTACTGTAGACCTTCACGTACCTTGTAAAACCAACTGCTATGCGCCTCAGTGCCCTTTTTGGCTCGAAACGGCTGCCTCGGAACACTGCGTTGCATCTCTCCAACCACATCTGCTGCGCTGAATTGGAAATGGTTGCAGCCTCCGGAAAACCGGACGACGTGCCACTCTTTTGAAAGAGCATGTCCCCGAGAGACCTCATATCCCTGCCTGGATTCATGCATTGCACCGCCTTTTTCATCACCTCCACCGCTGGCTGGATCACTGGGCAGCTAAATAAGCAGTGATCTTGCGATTCCACTCCGCCGCAGTGCGTGCATTTCGCCCTCGCGCCCAGGAAGGGGAGCCTCTCTCCCACTTGGAGGTTGTTACTGTGCACCCTCAGCACCACTTCGCGTGCCCTGCATGGGGTTGCCAGCGAGTCACGGACTGTGATGGCCTTCCCCCAATCAATCTTCCTCCCCATCACTTCTTCCCACTGCAGCTGCTGCTTAGGTTGAGTCGGAGGGGGTTTCATCGCCTTTCTCAGCTGTTTCAGCTTGGCCCGCTCGCCCTTCTCACAGATTGGAGAGTAAAGTAGGTGCGTTCTTGGGGCGCCGAGTAGGCCTCGGACCCTCCCTCCTATGACCGCCATAGGAGTAGCGCGCAGAAAGTCCACTGTTACCATGCTAGCATACTGCATCGCCGATATATATCCCTTTTTATCCACGGTCACGCTGCAGGTCAAGGCCCGAAGGGGAGAACATATCTATAGGGATCGACAGCCAGCCTGGAAAGCTGGTAACCTTGAGCTTCGGAGGACCCTGGAAGTTGGAAGTTGTGTTTATCAATTACTAGCATTGCATGCGTTTAACAAGTGTGTACCGGTATATCTAATTCGAAGTAGAACATTCTCATTTTCTGAAGTACATATCATAAACTACATCGGATACTGCACCAGTGAATGTGCAACAAGATTGCAGGAATTTTCCCGAATTCCTTATCGGGGTTGACTGCTTCGCGTACAGCCCCGATTTTCGGACTCTGCACGTTTGGCCGACATCAACGATGCCGAGCCTCCTCGCGTCGCCTTCGGCTTTTCCCTTCGCCAAACCTGCACCCAACCTCACTCACCCGAAGTTCCCTCCTAGCTAGCCTACTCACTATATAAGCATGTACCTTCATTTTATAATCAGTCTGTTCAATCACTTCTCGTTATTCGTTAAACTGCGCACTCTCTTTTACAACTCATAACACCTGGTGTCAGAGCTACTTTCCTAGTTCACCCCGCTTTTTAGAGGGTAGTTTGGTGGCACGGGTTGGCTGGTATAAGTGGACTACACGACGGTTGGCCGCAAGGTTTGTTAATTCAAACCTGCCCGACTCCGATAGTTCGTATTTTCCACTTTGCTTGAAGGCCACGCAGACCCGCTTGCCCACCCGACGAAGTGCCCGACACATGGATCAAGAGGCGGTTAACAGACTCATGGCGCAAGTGGCAGAAATGCAAGAGGGCATGAGGACGTTAATGGCGGAAGTGACAACACTACATGGAGAAAACGCCGAGCTACGCCAGGCGCGAGGTGAAGCGCGTCAGGAGTCGCCCGATGACGAAGGCGAGGGCAACAGTCAAGCGGTGAGCAACCCGTTGGACGCGCTCACACGTGACTTCGAAGAACAAGACAGGCAGCGAGCGGCTTCAGCACCAGTTGCAGTAACAACGATCAAGATTAAACCTGCCGACCCGCCCCCGTTTAATCCTACAAACAAGACGATTACGGTGAAAGGGTGGTTGTTTGGAGTCGAAGTCTTTTTCACTGCAGCAGGAGTAACCGATGATGCCATGCGCATTAATTATGCCGTTTCTCTTCTCCGAGGTGCAGCGCTTGAGTGGTGGCGCCGAACCCTAGAAACGGGGACCCCGACAGGTTGTTAGAATAAGTGACGAGAATGATTGACTAGGAAAAGGGAAGGGGTACAAGTAGGATGTCGAGAGAAATCTATACCTCCTAAGGCTAAACCCACTATAGCCTAGACAACTATAAACACATAAACTAAGCCTAGATATAACTAAGCATATATGTTTGACACACCCCCATAGGCGAAGTGGGGGATAGCCAGAACAAGCAATGGTCACAAGACCAGTCAAGAGAAGAAGCAAAGCAAAGCAAGCTCAGGGTGGATCACAAAGTCACCACACAGTCCGAGCACAAGCAAAGGGCCACAAGGCCAGTTCACATGCAGAGTTATATAAAGAGAACAAACAATACAGTGATCATACCCTAACAAGTGCAAGCATGCAGGTATATAGATAGATCACAGTACAGGCAGAGTCAGGCAGTAAGTAAGTGAGGCAAAGTAGGCACAAGGCCTAACACAGTAACAAAGCGCTGATGATCACCAGGCGGAAGTGCCTTGGTGAAGACATCAGCAGTGTTGGCCCGAGTGGCCACGTACGCTAGACGAAGCTGACCACGCTGCTGCAACTCTCGAGCAAGGAAGTATCGCAGAGCGATGTGCTTCATTCTGTGCTCCAGTCTGTGCTCCTGACACAAGGCTATCATGGCCTTGTTGTCTACGTACAGGACTGGAGGCGAACGAGGCTGCTCTCCCAAGTCGGTCAGCAAGTAGGTGAGCCAGCGTAGCTCCTGAGCAGCCATGGCTCCGGCGTAGATCCCAGCCTCACAGCTGGAGCTGAGAACTGAAGACGAGCGGGTAGACCGCCAAGAAACTGAGCCGGACCCTAGGCTGAAGGTGTAACCCTGCGACGACCGCTGCGTAGCTGAGTCGTCAACCCAGGAGGCGTCTGCGTGACCAGTGAGGACAACAGGACCCCGTCCTCCAAGCACAAGCCTCATGCCCGACGTACTGCACAGGTAACGCAGTACCCTCTTCGCAGCATCCCAGTGCACCTTTTGGTGCCTACCGGGAGCCACGTAGCGAGCCAGAAGGCTGAGAGGGTACATGAGGCAACCCACAAGCTCTGGGTACGGACCACTCGGCTCTACGGACTCGTCCGAAGGTGGAGCTGAGAGCGAGTGGCTGGTAGACAGAGGAGTGAGCTGTGGCGAGGAGTACTGGAAGCCGAAGCGCTGAAGGACCTGGTTCACCATGTGTGACTGAGTCAGTGTGATGGTGCGCCGTGCTCTATCCCGGGTGATCTGCAGGCCAAGGTAGCTGCGCAGTTCACCCAGGTCAGTGCAGGTATGACTCTTCTGCAGCTCGGACTTCACTAGGGTCAGTGCCTCAGTGTCAGCCGTGGCAAAGACGAGGTCGTCGACGTACACTAGGACGTAGAAGGGCGGCAGCGAGGTGTCGGTGCGTAGAAACAGCGACGGGTCTGCAGTAGAAGGAACAAACCCAAGAGCCACAAGTGTAGTCCTGAGTGTGTCGTGCCACTCGCGAGGCGCCTGGCGCAGACCGTAGACTGGCCGGCGGAGGCTCCACTGGGTACCTGTAGGAAACGACCCAGTGAAACCAGGTGGTCGGCGCAGCCAGATCTCCTCGTGCAGGCTGCCCTGCAGGAAGGCTGTACT